TCCGACTCGAATGAGGAAAATCTACCATTTCTTTTGTTTTTTTAAATTTTTAAAAAAAGGGTTAATTCAATCTGTTGTACTTATAATAATCAGATCCAAAAATTATTGAATAGGGTATCGATCACGCAATTAAAACAATATTCCGCATCGCGATGCACACACAGGTGTGACAGGAGGGGTGCATGCAGAGTTATTCCCTCTTGTTGCTAAGTGAAACAAATTGGGATGGGGACACAACTGCATCAATCTCGCTAAGCCCACGCGGGTTATCCACCTTCAAAAGATTCGCCCCGTGGCAATCGTCGGTTTATCGTCAGGATTTAAATATATCAATAATACAGAAATAAACACACTTAACACAATGGATGTTTTAGAAGCATTTAGTAACCGGATAGATTAATAAACTATAACACATACTTATGGAAGAACAATTACTGAATTATTTGGACGAGCACAATAACAAAGGGGGAGAGAGGAAGAGAGAAAATTGGGGTTTAACGTCCACTCGACACAAAATAGGTAATTTCTTGACTAACATATTGTTCAATTTTATTTCAATAATGCGCATGTGCATAGGGGTCTTTAGCAGTGGGGGGGGGGGGAGGGACTGGAGGATCCGGAGAAAACCCACGAGGTTGGGCTCAACGTTATCAAGCAAGTAACAAGGGAGCAAGATAGTTATATATAGACATACTTTACAGTTCTTCATTTCAAAAGATTTTAAACATAATGGGTAATATTGTTTGTTATAAATCAGGGAACAATTTTGCTTCTGAATTTAAAAAACAATACAATTTAATTTAAAGATGACAACATAGTTAGGCCTATATAGTTTACGATCTAGGGTCAAACAATCTTATAATAATTTGTGTATAGGCCTACTATAAACAATAACCTAGCAGTTGGAATATAATGAATGAAATGAAATGGGTTGTAACGTCCTCTGCTCAAGTCCGGGTAATGAAGGCTAGCATCCACCACACGTGCTATATGATGGAAATTGTGCCAGGACAGCAATTGAATTCCAACTGTTATTGGTTCTGTTACGTGTACGCCCATGTGTATACGGAACCTTGTTTTTTTTCGTACCATCCGAACGGCTAGACGCCTTTCCTTACCCTGTACTCCGTCCAGGAATATAACAGTCTAATGGATGTTCTCCATATAAAATACAAAATGTTTTTATTCAGTAAGTCGAACAAAGAAAGTAAACACACGTTTACGTGATCTTTGCACCATATACGGGGAAATCGAAACTAGGCCTATTTTGATATATTCACATTTAGAGTTCGTGTCCACATAATTCTCATGTCAAGGGCGGAAATCCATTTTAAAGCGCCATTATCTGCTCTGAGAAAACCTGTCCCTTTAAACATTGAGTAACGTGTTGTCACGAAATATGAGAAGTCCTTGTGATGTGCCCAGAGAAATCTACCAATATCTGTATGGTCTGATTTTTAAAAAAAAATTGTATGGTCAAGCTTAACTATTACAGAGAAATGATATGGGGTTTAACGTCCTACTGTTCTGCTCCGAACTGGGCTAACGAAGACGAGCATACGCCATACAGTGTGCTATGAGGGAAATTGTGCCCGGACAACTACGCTATGATCTACTCTTATTTCGAATTCCAACTGGCAGGGGTTCTTTTACGTGCACGCGTACAAGGGAATATGATAACCGAATATATACGGAACGAATACATGCCATCTAATTTGAAATCAGAGATATGGAAGAGATGACACGTTTTCGACTTTGTTTAACGGTACATCAATTAACTCACATTTAGACAGTGAGTCAGTCAGCAGGGTTTAACGTCCGCGTGACCGGTTGGTGATTACGGGACCTAATCGCTTCCATTGCCTTAGTGAATTAGAGACAGTCTACAAATATAATATTTACTTCGTGTGCATTGATCAGGTGTACACATTAGCATGCACGTAAAAGATCCCTTGGCCGTTGGAATTCGATATCAGAGTAGGCCGTAGCGCCGCTGCCCCGGCAAAATTTCCCTCATAGCACACTATATATACCCGTCTTCATTAGCCCAGTCGGAGCAGAACCGTTGGACGTTAAACATCATTTCATTTCATTTCTATTTCGTGAGCAATAAAACCAACGAACTTCTGTAAAAAAATAAAAATAAAATATTGTATATATGTCCCTTTAACATTAAGAAGAAAAAAACCCACAAAATATATTTTTGAAATTGTGCATGGATATCTATTTTGAAATGATTAATAAACAATGAATTTTAATTTGATTTAAAAAAACAAACCCAAAAAACATTATCTTGGGGAACATACAATATAGAAAAACAAGGTCCTGTCATTATGACGTAAAACAGACTCACTTGGGCACGTGGCGTTGGCTATATCAATGGTTAAAGGTTACCAGGGATGGTCTCGAATTTATTTTTATAGGCCTGCATAACGTCAGCAGTTTTAACAGATTATGCAATATGCAAACAATAACTATATAAAATATACAAATCATTTTAAAAAATATGCAGATACGCTTAAGTGTTCGGGGCACTTTTATGGTGATGTGTTATAGGGCTCCACAGAACATCTCTTTTAACTGAAGTGACCCCTAAAGGGGCTAACTCTATTTGTTAAGGCCAGCTCAATTTTTGTCAAGGTCGCCTAGATATAAATAAATTTAGGGCACGTGACTGTTGGCGAGTGTGGGTTAGGGTAAGCATTGGGGCTTGGTCCAAGGTTAGGGTTGGGATTATTGCTAGCCCTGTTTACATCTCGTGACCTATGACGAAAAAATGAGCTGACTTTATCATTTAGCACTAACCCCCTCAAAAAGCACAGATCAGTTGACAGCGATTGTTGTGAGCCCTGGGCATGATTTTCGGAGAAATTCTCTTTCCATAAAAATCGGTAGCGGTTATATTTATATCAAATTTGAAGTAGTAAAATCCGTTGGTATCTGGCAGGGTAGAGGGCAATAATTTATTATAACATAATCATAGTTGTCCGGTTAAGAAAATGTTGATTGTTCACGATACGAGTTCGAATTCTTTCAGTGCGCTATGTCAACTTTCGATTCCTAGATTACTACGACATCGAATAAATGAAATAAACAGTCTCAACTTTAGAACCGTTAAAATCAACCTGGTTTTCGTTTGAAGGCGCAAAACCTATTTTATATATGAATATAATGGACAATTGGTTAGTAAACGAGAGGAAGTGAGAGAGAGAGGGGGAGAGAGAGGTGGGGGAGAGAGAGATGGGGTTTAACGTCCATTCGACACAAACCAGGGTATTTCGGGATAACACACAGTTTAATTTTATTTTAAGGACCCGGAGAAAACCCACGTGGCTTGACAGGCGACCCTACTCCTACAAACGAGGATTCGAAATTGGTTAGTAAACAAGGAATACTCGTATATTTACACTTTATGTAGTCATTCGATATCAGATCCGGTCTTTTTGAGAGAGAGAGAGAGAGAGAGAGAGAGAGAGGGTGTAAACGTCCATTCGTCACAAACTAGATGATTTCGGGACTAACATATGGTTCAATTATATTTCAATAATTCGCTAGTGCGTAGGGGTCTTTAGCAGTGGGAGGAAACCGGGGGACCCGGAGGAAACCCACAAGGTTATTGGACATGCGTAAAGAAACAACAAGCAGCGATATCTGGGCGACATATCACAGCGTAACAAATAAACCCATGATACAATATTATCATTTAATGGGTGTGAACGCCCCTCTCCCCGTCCCCACCAACCCGACCCCCCCCCCCCAATTTCTTTAACATGATCAATCCTGCACATTATCATGCTGAAAATGGCTAACTGCATAACTCTATAAATTCCAAGTCTTGTCAAGAGCTATGCTAATTTATATCTCTGTACTAATCAAATATTTTTGTCTTTCAGGATTTAATTAAGCCCGATATAAATTGTGTTTATTGTTTAAAAATGTTAGATGCAGTTTGCTTTGATTAAAATTCGAGCTTGGATGCTAATCAGTCACAGATTAAACATACGTCATGAAGCACTCGGGGTAGAGGTGAAAGGACTGGAGTGAGAAGCGACATTTGCCTGAGTTGTTAGCTTACCAACTGACGGGTTATTCTCATGCAGTCAGCCCAGAGAGAACGGGGCGGGGCTTATTTTTTGACAGTTACTCTCTCTCGTGTGGGGAGCTGTGAACACGGTGAATGTGCTAACGAAACCTTTCCATTCATAAGACACCGGCCTACTTTCATTGGTTGAATGTACGGCTGTGTCAGGACTAAACTAATCATAGCTATTAATAGAACCAACACTAAGCAACGCCAGACTACATTGCAATTTGCATAGCTACTTTTATGTAAAAAAAAATAATTATCAATTATTCCAAATTCAATTAAAATTGTATAGTTTATTAGTAGATCAACTTTGTGGGCGAATGTAAACAAAATGCAATGAAAATGCACGGGTAAACTGACAAGGGGGGTTCGTTTCGCTCCTCCGTCAGCTCCCATACTAAACCATGGTATGTAATCGCATATACACGACACAATAAATATAGGACCTACATGACATGACGACAGTACACTGGGACATTCGAGGCTTCAACTATTGCATGTTGATAAACCTAAATGCACAGAGAGACCTTAAGGCCTATTTTAACTGATAAAAGTTTTCCGTCCTAAAAGATCTCCTGAATGCATCTCTATAACGGAATGCTGAATGCACGGGGACAATAACTTATGGAGCAGCTGAACTGGTGAAAAATATCTATACGTCGCTCAAGCTGCCTCATGCATATATTTTTGGAGCCTGGAAGAAAGCTGATTATTTTTAAAATAAAGGAATTTATTATAAAATAAAGTGTGTTGCCAGCTAGTTGTGAGTACCAACTTGCTAGTTAGGCCTGATATTAACAACAATAGCATACTGTGTAAACGCTATTGATTGGAAATCACTCTCACAGCTGGCCTCTCGTTGGCTCCGCCCACACGGCGCACGCGCATTGGCTAGGAACTTCTTTTTGTATGAACAGGGTCTTATAGAGGAGAGTGGAGAAGACCTCCGTTAAACAGGACTAGCAAGCGGTCGGTCGGGTATTGGTGTGGAAATCGTGAATCTATTAACTTATAAGTCCACAACAATTCCGACCAGTTGACAAACTACCTCACAATCAGTCAAGTACTCAACCAGAGAACGGAATATAGCCGATAGTTCAGCGAAAGTTTTTCTTCGCTTCGAACAAAGTTAACGTTGTCACTTCAGCAGACACTACATACCGTTAACATCATGGAGCTTATGTGCTGCGAGTCTGAAATTATTCAGCAATCTTACGAAGATCCAGTTCTATTGAAAGACAATCGAGTTCTGCAAAATTTATTGGCAACGGAGGATAAATATGTTCCTATGACATGTTATTTTAATTGTGTACAAACAGACATTCGTTCATATATGAGGAAAATGGTCGCCCAGTGGATGTTAGAGGTACGTCAAATTGTGTTTTTTCGTCCACACCACGACTTATTAAAAGTCGAATAACTTTTTTATTTATTGAGATTCAGAGATGACACGGATTTATACGGAAAGCTAATGAATTGCGGATTCGTTTAAGACCAAATATGATAAAATTACTTCAAATTCTGATTTATTTGATCAATTTTGGTGATAAAAAGTCGCTGACTAAAAATATGGGACAAGTTTGGAGGGAAAATGTTACTTCATGCTGAAATATCAGCCTCTTATAAAACTAGTTTGCTAAATTTATGCTTAAAACGTATTAAGACTGAAAATGGGATGCATTTTAGACAATTTGCATGGTTTTTGCGCCGCAAATTACTAAATTAAGCCCAATTAATGAAGGGACTTCAAATTGTGGAAATTTTTAAAAACTATCCAAGAAAATTATGCAGCCATGCAAATTGTTGCATAATACTGTGTGGATTTTATTCTAAATTTAAGATAGAGAATTTATTACAAGGTTTTGGTAGCCAAATTTGTTTGAAATATTGGGGAGAGCTAAAGGAGGGAGGGGAGGGGGTGATATTTTGTCTACACCCTATCTTGGAAGTTTGGTAGGCCTATATAGTTGGTTTAGGTGGATCAGTATTCTAAATTGTATACAGTGACATTGACGTGAACTACAGTTTAGGCTACTCTAACTAGGCTTATGGCTGGGACCCAGACTTCAAAATATGCGGGGGCCTACTTATTTTATCAGGACTTTTTTTCTTTTTTTTTGGAGTCAGCTTAAAGCGGCGATATGTAGACTACACTTAAAGGCTTGAAATATTTTCTTAATAGATTAAGTTTTGCTTTATGTTGTGTTATTTCTGAATATTTCTTGAATTTTTGGGTTTCATTTATTTTTCAAAACATCATAGACTCGTTTCTAAAATTAATTTAATAATCAATTGCTGTAGATTAAGATAAAGATTAAGTCTAGGCCGTCTCTAGGCCTACATATAAATCCAACTGAACATTTTTTCAGGAGTACAAAATTAGCCTTATTGTTATAGATCTATGAGAAAATAATTCTTTTCCCCAAGTTTAATTTTTTTATATATCATTTCTCAAGGTTTGTGAAGAACAAAGATGTGAAGACGAGGTGTTTCCACTAGCTGTGAATTATTTGGACCGTGTTTTATGTGTTAGAGACTTGAACAGAACGTCATTACAGTTGTTAGGGGCCGCCTGTATGTTTCTTGCCTCGAAACTCAAGGAAACCACCCCACTAACAGCCGAAAAACTTGTCGTGTACACAGATAACTCCATCCAATTACACGAATTAATGGTAAGTTCATTAGGTTTTTATTTTTTATTAAGATATATCGATATATTTCTCATTTTTCCCTGTGTGACTGTGGGGCTGGTCATTGAACAGAGATGAATGGATAGGCCAAGACCTATTAATCGAGTTGTCAATGTCCGCCGAACTTTATAGATCATATAATAAATTATTGTTTTTTTTGTAATCGTGCCTCCCCGAGTTTATTTTTATCTGTGGAATTTTATGAGAAAATCAATGCGTTAATCTATTTGGGTATTATATGATAATCTAGGTCGGGATGTATTATCGGGGTATTATTGAGGTTTATAATCCCAGCTTATATTGTCAATTGTACCAGTCTGCATTGTAACTTACAACAAAGTAATACATGGTCAGCTATAACTGGACCATTGCACTTCATGGCCTTGGGGCGGTCCATTATTCGGACAGGGGGGAAACAGGTTCGTCTGACACATAAACAAAGATCGTTGAAGCGATAATTAAAATTTCTAAACGATGACTTTTATGTTTTGAAAAATCAGCAATTCTTACTCAAATAGAACCCACTCCCTTATTTTTGGCGATTTAGCAATTTCGACATTTATAACAAATGGTAAAGTTTAACTTTGGTTGGTGTATCGACCACAAAGGGGTATTTCCTGGCAAATATAGAACTCTTATCCAGATGTAGGATATATGTTTATAACGTGTATGTAGTCAATATGCGAGAAAAAATCTCAATGAAAATCATATGGTTAGCTGTCAGTGTGGTAATATGGCGACTACTGTATTTCGTACTAGATGTAAAACGATATGTTTTAACTGATATTGAGAAGTGAAAAACTAGAGCCTTGCACGTACAGGTTGCTGACTAGTTTTGTATAAATCTGTTTTCTATAATGGTTCTAGCAATCTGGTGAAATTTGAACTTATATTTTGTACTGAGATAGCGTGGAAACGGAGACGACCGTAACATCGACTAGCCGTCATATTTAGGCCCACTCATGATTTATTAAATTTATATTCATATTAAAAGTGGGGGTGGCGGTGGGAATATTTTTTTGTGTTTTGACATCGGTTTTGTTTATTTATCACAATATTTGATCAAATCACAGTATTTGACTATTTTTTTTTTCTATTTGAAGAATTCTATTCTCCGTTTCGTTTTTCAGTTTTAATTTTTAAAATTTATTTTGTTTTTAGGAAATGGAATCATTAGTGCTGCAGTGTTTAAAATGGGATTTATCGGCAGTCACACCCCACGATTTCCTAGAACAAATACTTAGTCGCTTAGACATTAGTGCGGAAAAAAGCGAAACTCTAAAAAGACACGCACAAACCTTCATTTCTTTGTGCGCCACAGGTATGTAACTTGCATAATTTAATATCATTTTATATTGTTTAACGAAGTTTTAACATTTCTCATTAGATTTGTGTTAATTGTGAAATATCAACTTTTTAAATTAAGTTTTATCGCATTCTGATGGGTGGCCGTTTTACACAATGACAGTCAATAGACGTTATCATCCAGACATGTTTTAAGGACGTAATCGTCGTATAAAAATTATTATGCTTGGGGCGAATAGTTGACATTTTCAACATGTTTCGGGAAGAAATTATCTCCATAAATAATCTAGATTATTAACACAACAAAGGCCAGTGTTAAACAATTAAAAGACGAATCTACATTCCGTGCAGCAAAGTGAGACAAAGTGCATTTCATCTTTTTTGTCAGTTTCGCCTCTGGACTCGACTCTTGACAAAATATTAAAATCAGAATTCGCCTTGCATCTATTCAATTTAGGAATAAAATATTTCTGTTTGCCCGATAAAAAAAAAAAAAAAACGTTGTAGAGAAAATAAAATCTAAAAGTTAACTCGCCTCTCGCCAGACTGTACACCGTTCTTTAACTTTAATAGGACAGGTCCGAGTCGCGAAATGTTTGTAGTAAGAAGATGGCGGCGCTATTCGTCTGCTTATTTCAAAACTCCAGCCGCTGGTTGCCCTTTATAAATATATTAAGAAGTGGTCAAATGTAGTCGTAACATTTCCTAGGACGAGGTCGTCTGGCTGCTTGAACTCGTGAGCCCAACTTGATGAAAAGGTAAACAATTCCAGCTTAGTTTGGTTGGCTACGAGTTAGCCATATCGGTCAAGTTCGGTTTTCCTACACGAGTTAATTCCCTTGCTTTGTCTGCAAGAAGTAGGTTGCTGAACTTGAATTGGGGCTAAGTTTCCGGTTAATAGTGTTACAACAGGCAATTCTTATACTGGTCTGTCGAGTGATAGCTAATATTTATTGATTCAATGTACTTGTAACATATTTAATTTAAAGAGAATCTGTATTAAAAGAAATAAAATTCCACACGATTTTTTATTAATTAAAATGGCCTATTAATTTCTCTCCAAAAATGAAATCGAAATATTTATTAACTAAAAAGCAGTCTTAATATCTGAATTGTATTGGAATTTGAATTTTGTCCGTTATTGAGGTCATTGTATTGAGGGTGGCCGTGAGCACGCGACGGCAGATGTTTTGAGTGTTAAAGGGGGCCAATAAATAGGTTAGTTAGACGAAATTCATCAATGAGTTTAAAGATGGTTGAGAAAGACAGGTGTATTTTGTAGGTGTGTCTTCGAGACATGATTTGTATCGTTAAATACTGCTAGTGATCGTTGTCGTTAACTAGAGTTCAAATAAAGGTTATAACCATCGTCCAAAAATAAACCATCAACGTAAAAAAAAAAAAAAAAAAAGAAAATAATACAACCCGAGATCACACTTGGTTAGTCGATTTGGAAAACATCAAAAAGTTTTTTTTTTTGTTGTGCGAAAATTCACACTGATAGTAAATAAAACACTAGGCTAGTTTCCCATGAATAATAAATGATCTGTCTTTTATAGCGATGTATTATGTCCAAAAGTCATTTTAAACCTTTTACAAAAAGTGCATAGCGTTCCCAGATATTTGCTTATTTAAAAGATGAGTTTACTTCAGTGCTATGTTAAAACTAACGAAAGTTCCGTTTTCAATATATTTGCACCATGAGAATTCGTCCGATCGGGAGACAAAATTTTCCTTTGCTGTCGAATCTGCTGATATTATGATAATACTATAATATTAATAGCAATGAAATAATTAGGTAATTATCACGGTAATTAGATAATAGGCCTTAAGTCATTAGGCCTAAATCTGCTATTTTATGTAAAATCCCATAACTTATCTAAGTTATTACCATTATCTAGGTTCATATTAGCTTAGTTAAAACCCATATTAATCAGTTATCGTTAATATACCCACACCCGACATACCAACAGCCATCTTTGTCACGTGATGATTGATCGGAAACCACGAATCCATTGTTAATTACATAATTAGATTTGATGTCCGAGACACGCGACCTTCACCTTGACTTACGTCATTAAGATTTTTCGCGTGAAGACACAGACTTATACCAGTTATTAAATATATATAAATCTTTGTATTTTTCAGATTGTAAATTTATGTTGTATCCGCCATCAATGATCGCAGCCGGATCTGTTGGAGCCGCATGTCAAGGTCTTTCTCAAACGTTAAACAGTCACTCGAACATGAAATTCTTAGAAAAATTACACAAAATCACCGGAATCGAATTGGTAAGTTAAACATTATAATGAATTGAGCTCGTGTTAAAATCACCTGAACCAAAGTAGACGAGATCAATTATTTTGTAAATATTGATAATGAATTGTGCTTGTCTCAAAATGACCGGATCTGAGATCGAATGATTATATAAAAGGACTTGTATGTTCTAGACTATGGACCACACGTCTGCAACCCGTTACATCATACTTGCTTTTCTTAAACAAAGCAACGAAATACTTTCACTATCTTCAGCCATTGTCACTCGAGTGACCTTTGTGCCTGAGGGGTCACGTGAATTGTGTGAGAAAGTTGTTGAAGCTGTTTTTAAGAGAGTTTAGCGAGTGAGAGGATTGTTTTATAGGCTTAGATGTAGACAGTACTTAAAAATACAATCACAAACGAGACTAGATCACACCAACACCTACCGAGATATCAATGGACATAAATTTAACAGATAATTCCCAAGCCAAATGGATCACGATTTGGGAAACCTTAATAGAAATTGGGATTTTAATTGAAGCTCTTAAACGATGACTACACGTACTTACGATCTCGACTTTGTTCGTTTTGAAACTGGTAAAAAGTGCATATCATTCGAGCAAAGTGGCCATACTTTGTCCAGGGTGGGAGGGACAAAGGTCTTCCTTGGAGGCGGGGGTCCTCGACACTTTTTTCAGGGTGGAAGGGCCAAGGATATTTCTTGGGGGGTCTTTTATTCCAGCATTCCATGAGGTATTTATCAAGATGTGAAGCTTGTTTATAATTAACCCCGTGGCCAAGTAAATGATTCCTGAAGCTCGACCCCCCACTTAACGTATCAGTAGGACTCAGGCAGTTTATATCACCTCGTGACCTGACAGAAGATTACGGCGGCCATCGTGTTAGTTTTATGCCTACAACTCTCGCTGATTAACATGGCCGACCTATAAAACATGGCCGACAGATAAAACACAGCAAGTAGTTGCAGACATAACAATTAATTAACAATAATATATATATACACTATTGTTTTAGATTCACGGTTAGCAATTCATGTGAACTGTCTGTCTGGGTGAGATAAAACGTGAATCAGTGCGCTGACGACACACGGTGACTAATTTCCTAAACATCCGAATTAAATAATGATTTATATGAAATGTTAAACTTATAAAAACTTTTTTATATTTTCCAGGATTGTTTAAGATCGTGTCAAGAACAAATTGAGCAGACGGTCGCATCAAATTTATCCAATTTAGTACCGGAAGCACCAGAAACGCCAACAAAATCCGACCCTTTAAAATCGCAGCCAACAACCCCAACTGATGTCCGTGATATTCATCTAATATGAACTTAGTTTTTCTACTCCATTCAGAGGGAGAAAACAAAATATTAACCAAGAAATCATCTAGTTGACCTTGACCTCAACTCAAGGTCATAGACAGATCCAGAAGGCTATTTCCTGTTTTACCAAATATGGTCTGAAGCCTCTTCTTCCGATGGCCATATTGTGTTCAAATTAAGGTGCCTGGCTGCCTAACGGACGGAGCTGTTCCGGTTCTAATGACAGCGCCCCCAGTGCCATGGAATGACCTGGAGGTCACTACGGAGAATTTACTGCCAATAGACTGCCAATAGGAAGCTGCCAATATTATTGTAGCAAAAAAACTGCCATTTATATCCCTTGTTGCCAGGGACCAAAAAAACATTACATCACGTTACGTCATATATATCCCTTGTTGCCAGGGACCAAAAAAACATTACGTCACGTTACGTCATATTCATCTAATCAGACTTCATGATTCATACCTTAGTATATATTCATTAATCTTCAGTTCTGTTGTTGGCTTGTTTATTTTTTACTACTACTACCATATAAGGCAACGCTGTGATCTAATAACTATTCAAACTGTCGTCAACGTGCAGCAGTTTAAAAGGGCTAATCAATGCAATTGGCCTCAGTATGATGGACCACTGAAAGACATTATTACATAATGACCTCAATTAGACGGACCTATGAGTGATGACCTTTCATAAACTCAGGAGAGACAGTGATAGTACCTCAGTTTTTAAAATGGTGACCATGTGACTAGCTATATACGGTCAGTGGTCACGTGACTTTGTGGTCATGTGATAATTCAGATATGGTAATATTGTGATTTGTTTAACATATTCAGTTTTATTTTCCTTTCTAATTTGTATCGTCTGGTAAATCAAGGCTTTATTATTCAATGACGTAATTTATAGACTGGATTGATGTAGACTACAACTCTGTTCTAAGTTATCCAGACTCAAGTAGACTCTTCAATTACTTCTACCTCTGTTTAATTAACATTTCCTAATCTTTTCGGCTCCTTTGATTTATTTATCTACCTCAAGATTAGCCCAGTGCATGTAATTTATTTTCCCCCTTCCCTCGAAAATTAATATTTAAATCGATATAATTTATTCACCCCCACCCCACCCTCTCAAATATTATTTAACTAATAATAATGTAATATTAATTCTAGTATATGTAGTCTTTGCTTTACCAGACGTTAATTAAGTGATCCCATTTAATATATCAGATACAATGTTTTGTAAACTAATCAGAATGTATGTTATATTTAATGCAGACTGATAATTTGACGCGCGCGGATCTGTAAGAAGTCCATTATGGATGTGATATAATAGAAATAGGCGTCTTTAGAGACCAAAACAAAAAACAAAAATACTGTGATAAAAATAGTTTTAACCAGTCAAAGGTTTGAAATAAAAAAAACTCATGTGTTTCTTATGACTGGAAAAACAAACAAAAATACAAAGATTTTACGTCACGTCATCTAGGTGGCGCTGTTTTTACAGATTGTTTATCTGAAACGAGGTTATATATAGCGCGTGAGATTGGGACTGACAAAATGCCGTTATATTAACTAGATCGGTCTATTGTGATATGTGATTGTATGTAAAGTTAATAGATCTAGTTAAGGCTAACGGAAAACGTAATCAGAGAAAAAAAACCATTTGTAAAATATGTTGCTAATCAGCAATTATCTATTCTTAATGAAAAAACTTTGAAAAAAATGTCAAAAAACGAGTTTGAAATATAACTTGAGGATATTTCTCAACTTTATAGAAAAATCAAAAAATGTTCTTTATTATCGATATAGTGCTTACTTGAAATGAAAATCTATTAAAAAAATATAAACAATTCATTATTTTTTTTATTCGTTCTGTAATTAAAATAACCGTGTACATATTCATTCATATTTAGCGCGTGTTGCCGCCATCTTGACGAGACGTCAAATGACGGCATTATCTGATTACGTCATAACTAATTGTCTCGTTTCGAAACCCACAAGTCTCGTTATTTTCATTCATTAAAATGTTAAATTGTTCATGTTATATTGTTACCATGGTTACAACCAGCTTGTTCATCGTTCATGTTTTTATAAGAAATAACTTTGTATACCGATTGTAATTTTTTATACCAGTGTACAGTGTCGTATGTGCCGATAATAAAGACAATGAATTTAAATATTATATCAGATCTTTCTTATTTTGTTTAAAGGCATATTGACCCGAAACACGAAGCAACATTCATGGTGGGGTGTTTTGGGGAACGTTTACTAGTAAACCTTTCGGGTTGATTGGGATCTGCTGATCAATTAACGGTTCCAGGACACTGAAAAGGGGTTTAACAGACATTTTGGGGATCACGTGGCTAAGTGGGTAAGACGCTAGCTCGCTAGCCTGGAGGTCGGGTGTTCGATTCCTGCATTGGCCGAGAAAGATCATCCAGATTTTCCGGCGTGGTTTCCCCTTGTCAGTGATGCAGGAAGGAGGGCCTGACAAGGAAAGCTGTCTAGTCGTTCGGATGGGACGAAAAACCGAGGTCCCGTGTACACATTGGCGTGCACGTAAAAGATCCCTTGGCAGTTGGAATTCGATATAAGAGTAGGCCGTAGTGCCGCTGTCCGGGCAAAATTTCCCTCATAGCACACTGTATGGCGTATACCCGTCTTCATTAGCCCAGGTTAGGAGCAGAACAGTAGGACGTTAAACTCCATTTCAATTCAATTAAAAAAAACGTCTACTTTTTCTGCACCAACCGGGCTTATGAAGAGGGACATAAGGCAAGCAGTATGTCATGCAGGGAAATTTTGCACGGACAGCGGTGCTACGAACAAGTCAAGAGATCTTTAACGTCCTGGATTTTCGTCCCATCTCAACGACTAGACGTACATATTATTCCCTTGTTAAGTCCCCCCTCCTCCCAACCCCTATCCTGTACCACAGACAAAAAGTACATGGACTAAATAATCCCGACCAACTTTCTTGGTCAACACCTGGCACATCTGGTTGGTGCGTCAGCCTCGCTGAGTCTACCCGTTAAAGGGAAACCTGCTTATATCGTCAGAACGCAAGGATCGTTAAAACCTTAGTTACTTTGGTATACGGGGAGTTGGATGGCCGAATACTGATGTATGAATGAATGAAATAGGGTTTACTGTTCTAGTGGTCTGCACCGACTGAGATAATGAAAACAGACATACAGGGTGCTGTGAGACACATTTAACTGGAGATCAATTGAATTCCAAAATTCCAACTGTCTAGGGTTCTTTTACGTGTACGCCAACGTCTACACGGATCCTCGGGATTTTCGTCCCACCCGAACGACTAGGCTCCGTCCTTACTCTTCATCGAATTCTAACTGTCAAGGGGTCTTTGCCGTATACGAACGGACCACGGTATTTTGGCATACTATAGACAACACTGACAAATGAAACTTGGCTCGAATATCTTATCCACGATTAGAACATGAAATATTCTCGTCTAGCAACCCCGTACTACGGTACTACCATGTTGGAAGAGATGTGTTTTTTAACAGGGTTAGATTAAAATACCCACAAACGGAGACTGGATCAATTACGTTCTGTAAAAAGAACGATACAAGGAAATGGAAAAAAAGTTCTCTCGAAGTACAGTAACGTGACAGCCCTTAATTTAAGCTGGGGTTTTCCCTAAAACTTTGGACTTATTTAAGGTATTAAAAACGGTGAAAGTATTGTTCGTCTCCAAACAGTGTTGTTTACATGGTAGCCGTTTTTGATAGCCCCGTTTGTCACGCAATTAGTTTTTCTGCAATATTCTGTTATGCACTAGTTAATTGGGCGTAATAAATTTTATGAGTCAAGACGTAACGTTATGTAAACAAATTTGGAGCCCCTGTTTAAACCCGAGTGATATTGTTACGCAGTTAGGTATTGGTTGTTAATCGGACTATTGATTTTGGAATAGAAATCAAACGAAACACTGGGAGGAGTAGGCTCGACCTCGGACTGAGTGAACAACTTTTGGGAAGTCAGCTTTATGGCATGTGGACAATGAATTTCATCACTCGATGTTGGTTTCACAGCAATAGAAATGGCGATCCGCTTACAATGGGTTGATGTTTCACGTTTGTGATCAGAAAGGCTATTAAGATTGTCCATAATTTTGAAAAGCGGTGGCAGGCTTCCTAGGGGTTGGTATGGGGTGGGGGTGTAAAAAAACCGTGAATGGATGACAGTCGATATCAGAGAGTATATTGTACGAGGCAGTGTACTACTGATTCTGCGAAACTTCCCAATACAGCGATACAGGTTGTACGAAACCGCTCCATACAAAACTGCTCTATACATGATTAGAAAACTAACGTTCGTTTTCATAGAAATTGGTCAATCACCATGCCAACTATTTAGTTCTGATCAAAACATTCATAAAATTCAGGAAAACGGATGTGGTTTGCCTGAAATTTAAATACTTGCGTCATCTAGCGAAATTCAGCCATGTTCTAGAACCATTTATTGGTCATCTTTATAAGACCATGGAATTGTTTGCTTGGGGTTTTAAAGTTGGAAGAAAACAATGGCCTTCTACAATAAGTTCATTGTTTTGGTCCCGTACCTTCGTTGTTTTAACAGAATCTGTTAATCCTTTCCGCCCGATTATTTCTGATATAATCCAGTCAAATATTACCTGACCACATAATTATACACATCGGTATTTCATCATACAACGCGCGTCCATGATTATAAGGCCTGTGTCGGTATTTAGTCGTGCGTGCATGTTTGGAATGAGGACAGCACGCGCTGGTAGCGTGCCTCAACAATAGCTGTATTATACGACTGTCTTTTTGATGTAGATTATGAGAGCAGGTGAAAATGGAAGTTTCTATGAAGATGGCGGATTTCGTGCTCCGCTAATTCTTTTAGAAGTTTCGTCGAACGGTCTTAACGTATTCTGTTAGCCCATAAAAAAATCTCCCCGTATTATGCTTCGATGAATGAAGGTCCACACGTATCCGACAAAATCTGATGACTTTTTCACCCTTTTCTTTAGTTTTCTTAAAATTATATAAATTAGCATAAAATACCAATAACTCATGTTTAGAGTCGGGCGGATATGAGGATTCTTTTTGAATAAAGAAAGAGAAGTATGGACGCGAAAGCAGGCGACACTTCACAAAAGTATGGTGGAATGTTATCAAAAACGTTGTCATGGCAGCGGTTTTAAACATTATTTCAGTTTTAAATAAACGGATATATATCAGTACAAAAAGCCTATACTGACCATTTACTGTGTTCACTTCCTTATTACATGACAAGGAGTAGGGGCGCCTGTCCAAGGTCGTGGGTTTTCTCCGGGTCCTCCGGTTTCCTCCCGCTGCTAAAGACCCCTACGTGCAAGCGAATTATTGAAATAAAATTAAACCATATGTTAATCCCGAAATGACCTAGTTTGTGTCGAGTGGATGTTAAACCTCATCTCTCTCTCTCTCTCTCTCTCTCTCTCTCTCTCTCTCTCTCTCTCTTCTCACTTCCTTATTAAGGCCCTGGCTTGCTGTTCGATCCAGGAGTTCATCGGGATTTCCCGGCGTGGTGGGACGAGAAACCGAGATTCCGTGTACACATTGGCGTGCACGTAAAAGAGCTCTTGACAGTTGGAAATCGAAAGAAAGAGTAGGCGATTGATCCGTTGTCAAGCCAAATTTTCCCTCATAGCATATGGTATGACGTAGTCCTGTCTTCATTAGACCATTTCGGTGCAGAACAGTAGGATGTTAAACCCCATTTCATGTCATTTCATTTCATTACATTAAATTTCGCTCAACAAACGGCTTTCATTGGGACGACGGAAACGCAACGCAACTGAAACTTGTTAAATTGTTTCTGGACTTATTGTTTAAAAGATAACTTTTCAGTGCGCAAGGAATGGGGTCATCCCGAATAACGACTCAATACCATGATCAAAGTATAAGGCAAGCATTCTTTATCCTAAATAACGACCCCATCTTGTGACCGACTCCATATTGCCTCTCATCAGCACATTAAACTATTTGTAGATTTCTTACAAAGAACCCGTTGATTTCCGATTTCCAGCAAAGATGTCTCCAAGATGTTCTAAACAAAAGACCGAATTGACAGACTCAGATTTCCGACATTCTTCATGCTGTAAGACACGACAGAAACATCTTTGCACACAAACTCATTACGTCATAGACAATAACCCCAGATTGCGGTGACGTTTTACGTCTTTGAAAGGAATGTCAAAACGTGGTTCCTCTTTGCTGACCATCGTGAGGTTATGTGCAGAGTTCAAAGGTTAGAACATCGACCGGAACTTAATTACAACCGTCCATGAAAGGCTGGGCATGATATTATTACTGTTCTTGGAGGTTGATGAAAATCTTTTGGAAGCTTTTACAATTACAATGAGGTTTTTATTATCCATCCCCTTAATATTCTATGAACACAAAAGAATGTGACGTCTAATGTTCGTCGAATTTTCCGGAATACGTCTTCGTATTAATCCACAATCCATTTTTAGTATCCCCCTTCCCCACGCTACATGTGAATAATGAAAACAAGTGCTTAGGTTTTTATATATCTATCCCCTTTGTACGTCAATATTCTATGAACACGAAAGAATGTGATATCTAAAATTCGTCAAATTTTCCGAAATACTTTTTCGTGTTGATCACATATCCAGTTTTAGTATCCCTCTCCCACCCCCATTTTACATGTGGATAATGAAACAAATGCTTATGTGACTCGGTTTATTTCAGTAATACATGTATAGACAGATGATGGAATTTCTAGTTGTGATGAATGTCTAGGTATATGCTATAATAGGTCTCTCCCACTGTTAAAGACCCTTACGCGCAAGACTGACACAAAATTGAAATAGTAGTTTATGTCGAGTGGACGTTAAACCATCTCTCTCTCTCTCTCTCTCTCTCTCTCTCTCTCACCTCTTTTATGATATAGGAGGGTTGGAAGGCCGAATGGTTAGGACGTACGTTGTATCATAAGGTCTGTCATTGAGTCAACTGGAGTGGTTTCGATTCCCGGGGCGTACGTGACAAGGAGCAGGGTCGCCTGTCCAAGCTCGTGTGTTTTCTCCGGGTCCCCTACGCGCAAGCGAATTATTGAAATAAAATTGAAATGACCTAGTTTGTGTCGAGTGGAGTGCCCCCCCCCCTCTCTCTCTCTCTCTTA